AAAAAACCAAAGGATATTAATTTTCAAATCAAGCGGGAAAAATCATTCTCCATCTATTATCTGATTATTTTTTAGTGCTAAGTTAAAGGTCTAATTACAAATAAAGATATGTTAAAAAAATTAAATTTAAGATTTATGAGTAAGAAGAATTTATTTCTTATTATTTCATATAATTGCAATTTTATTATTTCCATAGAAGCCGATAAATCTAAATTGAAACCCCTTATAACTCTTTTCCTACTTGCTACTCTAGCAAAGGCTAATAATACTTGTTGACCATAAAAAAATTCTCATCCTCCTACTCTTTCTTGTAGCATTCCTCACTCCCACACCTACCAAACTCCTCTTCACCATCCACAAACTCACTACAACCACCAACAACAACATCATTTTTTGACATAAATCCAATCATTTCCTCTCCTCTCCAACCGCTCTCTCTTGAAATCTTGAATCTTTCCTTGCCACTTCTTCCTCCCTCTCTCAAGGTCTTCAACTTTAACTCTTAATGAAGCCATTTCTTCACTTGCTAAGTGGATCGATGAAGCAATCTCTTTTCTTCGACTTGCCAAGTATTGTTATGACTTGTAAAAATCTCTTTAACTCTTGCATTTACTTTTGAGTCCTTTTTTTCTTTTTTACTTCATTTGTTTTAGCTATTCTTACGCTTGAAAAGATGTATTAAGAGATATCTAATCTAGATTTGGAGGTTTTATATTAAAGAAAGGGAGTTTTGTAGGCAAGAATGATAGAAAAACAAAGAAACTTAGGCCTAAATTGGAAGGTAGAAGCTTGTCACTTGCTAAGTCGTTCGGGTTGTGGTGGTCGGTTTTAGGTACGTAAAGATATCTAGGTAAAGGGTCGATCATAGCATCATCATCATCTTGTTATAACTAAAATAGGCTGCATTGTTTGCATATAGACATAAAAATTTGAGTTTTAATGTGTTATACTTCAATGCCTATTTAATTGAGTTTATTAAAATATAAAAGCTTGGGTATTTTCAAGTGTTTGGGTATAAAACATAGTATTTGAGGGTTTAGGCTGATTTAAGGTCAATATCCCTTACTCAAAGAGAAAAGGTGAGAGAAGTTAGAATTTTGGTTAGTCTTTAGTGAACACGACCTATTGCGATAAGTAAGTGAGATCCTAAAGATGGATAGCTTTTTTATTAGCATGAGCGGCGAGTCATCGGTGACTTCACTCACACGAAGTGGGAAGCCAGCGATGATTTTGAGTCATGAATTTAGGAGATTACCAACAATTTCATTAGATAAGTGAAAAGTTATCGATCACTTTATTTGGCTCGAGCAAAGAGTGGATAGCTGGTTAGAAGCCACTACTGCTTTGTCACATAAGTGAGAAGTCATTGACTACTTCGTTTCGGACAAGCGAGACAACAAAAATAAAATCATTTCAAAATCACCGGCGGCTTCATCGCATATATAAGTAGGAAGTCATTGATAGCTTCATTTCGGCATTGCAATCAACAAAACAAAATAATTTCGAAACCGAGTAGCTGACTTTATCACATAGGTAGGAAGCCACGGTTGGCTTTATTTCGGTAATTTAAAATTAAATAAAATTATTTTGAAATCCACTAGCGACTTCTATCTATATAAGTGGAAAGTCACTAGCGACTTCATTTTGAACAAATAGAAAATAGATAAAATAACTCCTAAAGCCACTTGCAACTTTGTTTTAGCTATTCAAAATTAAATAAAATTAGTTCGGGAGCCACTAAGGTCTCCATCGCATAAGTAAAAACCCACTAGTAACTTCATTTTGACAAAACGGATAAAATGACTTCAAAGCCGATAAGCGGCTTTGTCATATAAGTGAAAAGCAACTAGCACCTTCGTTTTAAGCAAAACAAATTCCAACCAATAATCATAACCATTTATAACATACCATTTCATACTTATTTATCATTCAAAATAATCTACATGAATTTAGAAGTTACCCGAAGCATCATGAAAGCGTCGAGATCTTCTTCTCGGATTAGTTTGTTTCCTTCAATCTCGATGAAGGCTGATTATTTTAGTCGGTCGAGAAGGAAGAATCAACTATTTTGAGTGTCAAAAATACTATTTTATGATGATTGAGCTGCTCCTAATGAATTATAAATGACAAAAATGCTCTCTAGAAGTGAAATAACCAAAATGCCTTTAGAAGCCGAACAACCACTACTGATTGTACGTTCGGCTTTAGATGGTCCTTTAGGTGCATGAACTACTGCATTATAGAGGAGATCGTTGCAAGTTCAACCATGGTGGTGGTAGTCGATAAAGACATTAGAGGTGGGAGATCAAAGGGTCAAAATTTTTGATTAGATCTCTTTATTTCAACAATGATTAGAGGTTTCTAGGATACCAATCAACTCATGAGGCCGAGAACGAGTTTTTGTATGATTAGGATGTACGATTTGACCTTGATTAGCAAATCTTTTTAGGTTCTTCAAAACCAATCAAAAATGGTTCATCATCAATTAAACCATTTTCTAGTGACTTTGAGCCATGAATCCAAAGGAGAAACACTAATGGAAGTTAGACGAGCAAGTCTCGAGTGATGGTAGTTGGTGGTTAGGCTAGAATTAAAAGATACAAATGGGTCGGATCGCGGTGTTTCAAGCTCATATTTCTCCCTCTTTCGACGTCATCTCCTCCTGTAACCAGCAAGGATGGGGGTGATATAGTGATGGGCTATCTATTGATGGTGGAAATTAGAGTCAAAATCGATCAAATGGTGCTTGATTTAGAGGAGAAATGTCCGTCAGGTAAACAAGTAACCCGATCGATTATTCGGGTTT